CCACCACTGATAACCAAAATGTATGTGGAAAAACAGCGTCCACATGTACAATGTGTTAAATCCTACCATACTAGTAGTGAATTTTCAACATAAAAATAGAAACATCAAATACTCTCCTAAATAATGTGTTGCATTTCTCAGCAGGAACCTACTCTAGATATAGTACCTACTCGAAGATTTAAATATTTGATAATTTCTATTTTCCTGTTTTTCGCACATAAAACCCATTATGATTATAAATATATTCACAACTTTTCGATAAAAGTCATAAGCAATATACAATTTTGTTTTGTCTAAAATTGACATACTTTTATGATAATTTATTTTGTGTATCTTTATCACATTTGGGCCCCCTTATTGTCTCATAATAATGGCTGCTCCCTAATAGTGCCAGGACATGACTTTCATGGAGGCATTAGAAGCAATCACTCAATCCTCAAGTACCGGTAGTTTGCCTTGACGCCCTACAAAATAATACATATATTTTTTGTACCGGTAGTATTCATATTGGCCAAAGTAATTTTGTAAAATTTGTGGGTGTCCTTATAATCAAGCACTTTAAGGACTGTTACAGTAGTGGTAGTCTGCAAAGTAGTATTTAGGGTAAACGCAATATCTGGAATAGCGAACAATCTTGCAGTACTTTTGTACAAATGTATATCTTAATTGGCTGCTGCCCAGGTCACCTCAACAGCTTATCAACGCGACTCAAGACTACAAGCTCAAATGCTAGTATGCTGGCAAAAATTATTGAAGATATTTGTTCTAATTTTTTCAGGTTGCAAGATGTGCTCATAATCTAAAGATCAAACTAGGAAAGCAAGAAAAACAATACAGAGAAGAAAACCAAAATTTAGCCGATGATTACAAAAGAATCACTGAACAGTTCAAAGAGCTACAGAAAAAAGCAAAGTATGAATTTATTTTTTCTACAACAATAAAATAATATTTTACTTCATGTTAACAATTAATAGCAGACATTTTAAATGTATTTACCCCGCAGGTAATATAAAATAAAGCATTACTCATTTACTCACTTACTCAATATATGGTACATGGAAAGCAAGTATTTGCTGTCACTAAATGCAAC